AGATAATCTGGGACAGCCCCCAAACTGTGAATGTTGGATTATGGACCTTCAAGTACTGGCCAAAAAGCAGAGCCTCGGGCTCTGCTCCAATGTACTGAGGCTGAGTTGTAGGAATAGGAGTTTTACACAGACTCCCACCTACTTTTCAGAGAAAAATCCTTAGAGATTTCAGAAGGGTAGACATTTTAGTTTTGGGTATGGGTCACTGCACTATGTGTTTGCATGTTGTTGGTATACTCAAACAAGGGTGTAAAGGCAAGCACACCTCAGTTGACATTGCTGGTAGGTGTCTTCCTCATAAACATTACTGGATTTCTCTCAGAGGGCCACAAATATCCTCTCTGGTCCTGGATGAGCCCGTAATTTCTAAGTAACCAGCCCCTTAGGCAGCCTCCCTAGAACACAAGAAACCCTAACTTCCTGAAGTTCACTTTGCCTTCACACAGACTTGACTCATGGATTAGGTTCTCAGTACTGTGATCATATACTTCAAAACTACAACTTTAAGTAATCTCATACATTCTACAAGAGGAATACCTTGCACAGGACATGAAGATACTCTACTACACACTTAGAAAATGCTTTTTGGGGAATAACAGAACTTTTCATTCTTGCACTATTCTTCCTAAGTGGAAACTGTGATTTGGAAACAGCAGACCAGCACAAAGGCCACTGTAAAACTCACTAAGATGGTTTTCTTCCCAGAGCACTTTTTTCTAAGAAACAAACAGGAAGAAAAGGGGAGTCAGTCAATAGTACACTGACTTTCTCATTGTACCGTTTTTTTAGGAAAATGAAAACTAAATACCACACAACATAACAAGAGATATGCTTTCTCAGTTGATCTTTAAATTATTATCTACTTAGGAAATGTTCTACCTTTGAAGTGAATTCCATAAAACTTATACTTGACCTTGCCCTCCTTCCTGCCCTCTCACTTTTCTTACTTGTAGGGGACTGAGCCTAGGGACACATGGATGTCAGACAACTACTCTACCACTCAGCTACACTCCCAGTCCATGCTTTACTTGTTATTTTGAGACAGAGCCTCACTAAGTTGCCCAGGCAGGCCCTGAACTTGCTATCCTCCTGTCACAGTCTCCTGAATAACTGAGATCACAATGTGTAGGCCAGCAGGCCCAGCTGACTTTATTTGACTGTTGATAGAGCAGGAGTTGTTTTTCTATTACTTGTTCAGTTGAAGTTCCTACTTCAGACCTTTACAAACTTTTGCATATTAATGAGGTTTTGCTTTTCTTAGAAATTCTTTTAAAAAATTTATTGTTTTATATGTCTGAGTCTTTTGCATGTATATAAGTGCATTACATGCATGCAATGCCCATGGAGGCCAGAAAAGGGTGCCAGATCCCCTGGAACTTGAGTTATGGACAGTTGTTGGCCACTATGGAGGAGATTAGGAACCGAATCTGGGTCTTCTGGAACAACAGTCAGTGCTCTTAACCACTGAGCCATCTCTCCCGCCCCAAGAAATTCTTAAATTACTTCTTTACTTTGTATTTGACATAAACATATTTGAATTTTGAGGAGCAATAGGAATCTATTTCAAAACTGGAAAATGGGACTCTTAATCACTGAATGGTCAGGAAGAATATAGGAAGACTATATTTCTTAAAAGTCCTTTAAGAAAGAAAAGATAGCAAAATTTAAGAAAACATGTCAATAAAAAGTACTTTATCACACTAAAAAATTTAATATCTTAAAATGCTAGAGTCAAAATGCTTTCCGTATTTGGCATTTAAAAATACTCTGAAACCAATTATCATTATCAAACCTTAGAGTGGCATTAGTCCTATTCTTCTAATCTCAAAAAAGCTATTACAGAAAAGTAAGGGAGTCATTAAAAAAATCTAAAGGATTATACATTTGTCATTAGCAGGTAATATGTGTACTTAGATATAAAAACTCACTGACCCCATGGGGTAACATAATATCAAATACTATAGTTTTTTTTAAAACAATACCACAAAAGTGGGCACCTTTAATCCCAGCACTCAGGAGGTACAGGCAGGTGGATCTCTGTGAGATTGAGTGAGTTGTAGGCCAACTGGTGCTACAGGGTAATCCTGTCTCCAAAAAACAAAAACGAACAAAAAACCAATACTACAACTCAATAAAATGGTGCACTGTTAATTTCTGTTATTAAAACGTAACTGGTAATTGTTATTTCATTCTATATGAAATTAAGAAAAGCATTGGTACAGATTTTGTAAGCAATTGTTTATTTTAATTTGTTCTAACTGCCATGAACTGAAATAATGGCACAAGTGTTACATATTCAGCAATAACTTGAATCAATTTCTGCTTGAAAATATAAATGATGAGATGCTTATGACCTGAAAGTGTTCTAACATTTGGGATGTTATACAGCTATACTTTTGCAACACACTATGAAATATTTTCAGTTAAGTATGGTAGGACCTGAGAAGCAAGTTAGGACAATACAATCTATTCTTAAGTAAATAGAGACATTTTGAGTTTAGTAACTTTGGCTCCTTCCCCAGGTTACAGAGCCAAAACCCAGGCCTCTAACGAGAGAGCTAAACAGAAGAGCACTGTGAGATCCTGGTGTGTGAGGGCTATGCAGATTAAGGTTGAGTGCAATCTCTGCATGCTAAAGTCACATATAAATGGTTCTGCAGTGTTTCTCTCCTCTACATTAGCTGGAATAATTGAGTACTGACTGTGACTTTTAATTAAAATCATTTGGTCATGCATTAAGTGGCAAAAAAACAAGTTTCAGGCAAACTATATTTTCATTAGAATTATAAAACTGGCTTTTGATCTTGGACTTGTCTGTCCTGTCTAGCCCACATCCATTCTTTGTTGTTGTTGCTGTCGTTGTTGCCCACGTCCATTCCTGAGAGTGCCTTTGTCTTCTTCTTTTTTAAAAAAATATTTTATTTATTTTTATTTTATGTGTATGCGTGTATTGCCTGCATGTAGGTAAGTGCACCTGTGTCATGCAATGCTCATAGAGGACAGAAGAGACTGTGGGATCCCCTGGAACTGGAGTATGGACAGTTGTTAGCTGCCATGCGGGTGCTGGGATTCAAACCCAGGTCTTCTACAAGAACAGCCAGTGTTCTTAACTGCTGAGCCATCTCTCCAGCCCCGCCTTTGTCTTCTTTAATATACTGTCTCTATTTCTTTCACTAGAAAAAGTGTCCTTCCTAGACCATCTTCCAGGTAGGAAGATAGCTTTCACATTATTTAGGTTACTAAGGAAGGCAATTTGACTTCTTTTCCTCACAGAAATAAAAATCTGGAAGAATGATTTTTGTTTTAGTCAAACAACTTGATATATAAAGGTGAAAGCAGAGGTTCCAGTGTGAACAATAATCCCCTGCGTCTTCCTGTGCATTAGAGAACTGTTAAGCAACACTGCAGTTCTGGTGTAGAAGGTAAAATCCCATACTACCTAAGCTAAAGTTAGATTTGCTTTATGATATTTTTATGCTTTAGTAATGTCAAGAACTCATAAATAAAATAGCTTCTATTAGAGGAGAAAACACAGGAAAGAAAAAAAAAGTATTTAGAGGTTGGGGATATAGCTCAGTGGTAGAGTGCTTGTCTAACAAGTGTAAAGTCCTGGGTTCAATCATCAATGCAGGAAAAAAAATAAAACAGTTGTCACAGAATTTCACTTCAATGGCCCCTTTCAACTCTATCCATTTCCAAATAGATGACGGATATTAAGTCCATCTGGAAAACTAACTTGACCAATATTCCAAGCCCAGGAACAGCAAGGCTAAATCTAACATGCAAATTGCCCATGGCATTTTTTACAGGCGGCCTCTTCTGCTTCTGTGGTAATAGAAAGAAAACAAAAAATGTCTAAGGGACTTTCTTTGATTCTAAATTTACTTCTGTAAATAATAATTATCCATGAAAGAACACACTAAATATAGTGTGTAGATATTTTTGATGGCCAAAGTGTGTCATGACATAGTTGACAACAATTTCCTTGAGCTCATAAAGGACTCCTGAACAACCACATGGTTAAGGGACAATTCTTTTTATCTTCACTCTCACTTAAAGCCACTGGCACCCATCAGAGTGCAGAAAGCAAACATACAAATCGTACTTGCGCTGCTTCTCAGGACACAGGGCCTAGACGCTGTGCTTCAAGTGTCTGGCGATGAGGAGGTGCCTAGTCTGAGACAGAAGCTGCACTCAGCTCACTGGCTGTCCAGCATCTCCTCACAAGCCAGAAGCAGCCTTAAGGGATTGCTTGGCAAAGGAAGCCAGTCTGTATGTAGTGTCCAACCCTCTCCCCTCTTAATGAAAGGAAATCCAACTTTACTGTTTCATAAGACAGCTTTTTGTGGGAATCCTGAATCCAGTAAAATAGGACAAACCCTTAACTACTTCATAAAAGGCATCACTAAAAATTACCCAGTTATTATAAAATGTGTAAAATGCCCTCTGTGTATCTTTCAGGAGCAGCCATGCCAGTGTAACAAGGATGATATAAAATAGTGATGGGGCTTTGACTAAACCATCAACGAGACAGACCATGGGGTATAAGGTCATTACTGCAGAGAACAACAGGCTGAAAATTGCTCTCATGGCTGCATGAGTTCTCTCCACAACAGACGCTAGTGAGCCCACCTGTGTATGTTGTCTTGGCCGGAAGGCACTGCACCCAGGTTGGCAACATTCACGACCTTCTGAAGGATCATGGAGGGGGTGAAGTTCTGTGGCACAGCGACTATCGTGGCAGAGGTCTCATTCATTCCAGTGAGTGCTCCTGCAAGAGCCAAGGAGGGCTCCATTTGACCCATTTCATTTGAAAATCACCCGAACACTTAAGTGCACAGTCAAAATTTAAAGACTTTTCTCAGTAAAAGAAATCTCACTTTAGAATTTAATTTATAAGGAAACTACCACAAAATTAATGTTTGGTGCAGTGGAGCTTGCCTTTAATCTCAGTGTTTGGTAGACAGGCAGGCCTCTATGAGATCGAGGCCAGCATGGTCTACATAGTGAGTTCCAGGAAGCTGAGACTAGGGAGACCCTGTCCAAAAAAAAAAAGCCAAACAAACAAAAAACAACAAAAAAAATTAAAACAATACCAGTGTTTCAAAGATTAAAAAAAAACTTCATCAGGTAGGAAAATAAAGATGCAATAAAATCATTCTTCATAAATCTAATTTTAACTAGTATAAATACTAAAAGTTATAAATATGAAGTTTAATTCTGGTCTGTTTGAAAATAAACTCTGGGTTATGGAAACTGTCAAGCTCTCTCACCTGAGAATATTCTTATTTATTATTATTAGCTATTTATCCTATTCATTCAAAGATTAGCCCAGTGCTGCTCGGGAACAAATCACGACAATTCCAGCTCTAGCAACATTTCTGATGAATGGCTTCCAGGTCACAGATCAGTGGATTTAACAGTGAGTGGAAGTCACTGAACAGTTATGCAGTTCTAGAAACTTGTAAGTTTCTGAGCTGCACTTAACAATAATAGCATTTGTCTGATGAACAGAACTAGAATGTCTGACAAAGACACAAATGAAACAAGAAATTTGACAAGAAAAATGTAAATTAAAAAATTCTAAATTCCAGAGACATTTCAAAAACAAAAAGTGAAGCAAAATTATGAACAAGGTCCACAGTTAACGCAAAGCATGCTATTAATGTCAGAACCTCACATGGAAATGTTCAGGCAACAAATCCAATAGCATACCAAAGGCTTGGAAAAAACAGTGAAGTTTAGTACCTGGGCTAAAAATCAAAAGGATGCCATCTATTTGGATCTGTGACATAAGCCACAAATACTAATGGTATCTATTAAACACAAAGCTTTTTGAGACATTTGACCATGTGCGTGCACAGCAGCTTACATAATTTACAAAAATGGCAAAATTTTGTTTCATGTTCTCAAAAGACTTACAAATATGCAGCCCTTCTAACATTACTTTAGCTATTTACTGCAGGAAATCTGAGAATTTGAAAGTCCCTCTGGTTAACAGTATGAAGACACTAAAGGCTAATAAGATTGCAAAGACCCATTTCTATCCATCAGATAGAAAATAGGGCTACCTTCTTCTAACAAGGCACTGTTTTCACTAACCACTTTGAGGAACACTATGTTCTGTCTTAAGCTGGTTAACTTCAATATTAGGCAAAAGCTTTAAAAACTACACAAGCAGTCAAACTCTGCTTTTAAGTGAAGTGCAGAGGCTGACATAACACTGCCGAGAGATGTGTGTACTCATTTAGGATTTAAACCTTCTCCATTAAGCTCTATTGAAGAGCAACTGCTGAATAAATGAATGCAACTATGTTTATGTTAAAAGCCTGTTTCCCGCAGCATGTAATTAAAGGAAATGTTGTACAAAGCCAGTACTTTTGTCAAGCTCCTGTAAATGGAAAGATGGATAGCACTCAGAGAAGTGAATGCATTGCTTCATATTTAACCTTAACACTCTTGTCATTAATGGTTTGTCTAACTTGTTCTATAAAAGACAAGGTACTGCTCCATTGAAGTAAAATTAAAAAAATCAACTAAACCATGCTTTTCAGAACAGAAGATTCATTATCGTCGGCTAATGTATTGGCATAAAGCAAAGTAACATCCTATCAAGTAAGGCACACATTCAATCTGCCTTCCCACCCCCCTTTATTTTTAACTCATGCTGTTTTATTGTTATAGGCAATTTGTACCACTCAGCATGACAGTGTAAACTGAATCAAGATTAATTTACATGCAAAAGAACACTTAGGAGAGCAGCATGGTAAGCAAATGTATTGTCTCGATTGCTGAGGTGGAAAAAGAACCTGGAAAGAAAAAAAGGTGCTCTAATTAAGGGGCATCAAATATGATTGCTTTTGGTAGTTAAGGGCCAGAAAATAGCAAATGTCTGACCACTTAAAGAATTAGCATCTTGCTAGCTGGGAACCCATAAGATGTAGGCATAAATCACAATAAAATTAAGCAAACATTTTAGGTTTCTTAAACCAGAGGTTTTGCTAAATGAAAATATATCAGGTATTCAGAAATTAACAAGAAAGAAAAATATGGCACAGTATCATTAAATGTTTGCCCATATATGTAATAAAGGTAAAGGAACTTGGAAAACATTTAAAAACCATCAGGTTGAAGAACTGGTGGCGTCAGGAGAATACATCAAAATTTTGGTCAGGGTGTAGGACAAGACTTAATTTAGGTTAATCGGCTTTAATTAATTGCTAAAATGCAAAGCAAGGAATCATATTTGAAAAGATTTTTCTCAATTTTAGATTTGCAATTTAAGAACAAGCAGAGAAGGATGGAAAACAGGCAGCCTAATACACAACTGGCTGAGTCGTCCGAAAAGAAAGCTGTCCAAGAAACCAAATTCATTTTTTAGGTGAAAAGCGATCCTATGCATTTGATAGTATTGAAAGGCTCCCACAGGTAGCTCATTAATTAACTGTAATGCTCCAAACTCCTAAAATAAATCAATCACACTTCAGTTGAAGGCTCGATAATATGAAGACTATAAATATCTTCAATATATGGGACAGCCCAATCTTTCATGGAGCACTTTGCCTACACTCTTGTTGATATAACCAAGTAGGTCTAGACACAACTGAGAAAAAGTGATGGATCAAGTGGAATACTAGATATAAAACCTTTTAGTTTTAAGAACTATTAACATATACATGACAATCTGTTAAAATCACTTTTATTTAATATTTTACATACTTTCAGTTTTGTACATTTTTAGGCTCAAAAGCCACATTCCTTGTGTTTCTTATTCATAAATTTTTCAATTAAATACTAATGAATGCACTTTTTGAGTCTTAAAATATGTCCTGTGAAAAGAGTTATTAATTATGTAAGTGCATTTTCAAAGTAGAAAAACAGGTTCCAAGCCTGTGTGTAATAAAGCACACACTCTTCTTAAATTTACTTGCTTTTTACGTTCTAGAACTTTACACTGACAAAATATAAACAAGTGAATTTTACTTTGATTTTTAGACTTCCCATTAGTGAGTCATTTTTTAGGTATCTTGTGGAAGAAGCTCAGCTCTCTTCCTAGAGCAGTCTAACAAATCCACATGTAAGGTTGAGGATTGAGACCTCTATTACCAAACCTGCTGAAATCCGTAACTAAAAAGATAGTACTGAAAAGACTCCTGGAACCTGTGGTAAATTTGCCAGCATCAAGTCCCATATCAAAGGATGAATTTAGGAAGACAGAAAGAATGATACAGAAATGCCAAGAGACCTGCGAGGATTTACAAATACTTCATATAAACCAATTTTCAAATAGCTTTATTCAGAGTAGCCTTTCTGCTCTATTAAACATAGCAAACAGCTGCCACATTTATTCAGACAAATAATCAACAACCATAGAAGGAAAATGGCAGAAGAAAAAGGAATTTTGGCAACAAGTCCACAGAGGACGGCGGCTATTCTCCGTGTGCACCTCTTTCATGCACTTACGGTTCTGTATGGCTAGTCAGCGAAAAATCCCTCAGTCACAGCACAGCACAAAAAAAAAAAAAATTGATCAAATAGCAAGTATTCTGAACAAAAGCCAAGGGAGAGCAAGGACGCATGGTAAGCAGCTCTAGATATACTTTGGCTGCACGTCTCAAAAACAGAATATCCCCTCAGCAATCAGCGTGCGGAGCCTTATGCAGGCGCTGGGGTGCCACTCACCTTGGTTTGCTGAGCAGATGTAAAGCAGAGACAGGCTTTAGCCAGCAAAGGGTAAGAATGGCAAATAGGAGAATCAATTCAATTTGTCATTGGAAAATAAAGCCACAGAGATAATTTCTACAGCAACAGTCTACTCTCAAGAAAACAAATGCAAAGTTGGATTTAGTTATTCTTAAACAACAACAAAAAAAATCACTTAAAAAGGCATGAGGGGGGAGAAAAGATTCCAAATTGACAGTGTTGTCTGGGATGTTCTTAGGAACATGTTCTTAGGACCTGTTCTAAAACAGGTCCTTTTGATCCTGCAGCTAGCAAATACATGGAGTCAAATGAATCTTCAGTGCTACAATGACAGGGTGCCAGGAGGCATGGGCCCTACCCTTAGGTACAAGGAGTTGTTTGTGCCCAGTACTTACTGGAAGACTGATGGATATGATATAATGATCTCCAAATGAAGGGATCTTTGATTATACCCTCCAAAGGGGGGTGAAAATTAGCTCAGGTTCATATAAACTTGTAAGCATTGCTGATGATGGCATTTAAATATGCCCTAGTTTTATAAACATTGTTCTTAAACATAGAAAATCTGTGTTATTTCCCTCTATTTGTATACAGAAAAGGACCCTCGTGTTTACTAGAAAGGATGCTTGACTCAGGCCAAGTACAGGATAGCAATACTTGCATTCTGCTATAAACAGTCTCTTTTGTGCATCTTTTAAAATGTTTCAGCTTTGATTTATTCAAAATACTTCTTTAATAAAGAATTCAGTCAAAAGAAAATAAAGGTATTTTAGGAGTATAATTAAGACTTTATTTTGAAGGATAAAGTATGTCACTCTGGACAGGGAAAAACACATTAGGGGAGATGGGAAACAGCTTTATAGTAACGAATGAATGAACATAGAACCCTAAGATTTATGGTGGTGACACTAGTGATCTCCAATTCCTGGCATTTTCATGACTACCAAACACATGTGCATAGGATGAGGCTGGCAAACAACTCAGAATAGAAAATGTAATTAAAGATCAGTTTACTACTTTAAAGACATATCAACTGATTCCCAGGCCTCCCATGAATATACATAAGCATGAACTTTTAAGGTATAAGGGCAAGCATTACAAAAAACGGGTAGACTGTGCACTGGTCTCTGTAAACACTGAGTGTGCCTGGAAATCTTAGAGGCTGCTTGGAAGCACAGGCACATACTGTTTGGTACATAACTTTCTAGTAAGTTGGAGTAATCACTCACCTTGCTCTTTCTTAAAGTCTTTCTCCGACATGGCCACAGGTAAAAGCAGTTCTCCAACAGGTGGTTGGATGTTTACATTGAAGCAATCATTCTTGGTGCTAAGAGACAAAAAAAAACCAAGAACAACAACAAAAAAAAACAAAAACAACAACAACCAAAGATGATCAAAATGCTCAAACCCCCCATTCTTCATAGCACTGTGTAGTTAAATAGGTGCAATTAAAGCATATGCCAACATTTCAAGCACTTGTTGGCTTAAATATCATAATTCAAAAGGCTTGAACATTTTCTCAGACAACACAGTATACTGAGAAGTACACGTCATCTCGATTGGGATTGTATCCAAAATTGCCCGCTTATACTGTAAATCACATCATTTGACACACAACTTCAATTTATTTCTTTGGTGGTGGGTTGAGCTGAGGGCTTCAGTCACATGCTAAGCACATGGTCTACCAATGATACAGAACTTTTACAGTGGTGCCGTGTTGGGTGGCACAGGCTTGTAATGCCAGCACTTGGAAGGCTGAGGCAGGAGGAAGGCATGTTCAGGGCCAGTCTTGGTCTAGGGAGCAAAATCATTTATGAAACAAAAAATAAAATAAAAGAGCAGCAAAGGTATAGAACTACTACCAACAGAGGCACAATGTATGCAACTTACAGAAACAGTATTTTATCATCTCTTTGTATTCCTAAAATGTAGATGATGAAGTGCTTTAGTCTCAAGTGGTTAAGCTCTCTCTTTTCTCCACCTAACTCCCCCCTAACAGGATCTTATATAGTCCAGGCTGGCCTCAAACTCAACATGGAGTCAATAATGATCTTGAATTTCCCATACTCCTACCTCCACCTCCCAAGTACTGGGATTACATGTGTGTGCCACCACATCTGGCTTTTGTAATTTGTTCTTTATCTACAATAATATATGCACTGCAACCTGCTCTCTCTCCTTCTCTGTCTCTCGTAAGATGTGCATGTGAATGTTCCTGCCATGGTGTACATGTGGAGGTCGGAGGACAACTTTATGGAGTTGCTTTTTTCCATCCACCTTTACGTGGGCAATTCAATTTGGGTCTCCAGGCTTGCGCCCTTACCCTCTGAGCCATCTTGCCAGCTCCACACTTGCATTTTTAATTAAAAAAAATCTTATTTTGTAATAGTGTTACTCATTGACATTATTGATGAATATATGTAAAAGTTATCTTAATGGATAGGGTGTGATGAACTTAAGGAATTCAACTGTTTCTAGCATTAGAAAATACCGAGTGCAATTATTTCACTTAAATCTCCTATTTATGATCAAGTGCTTCACATTTTTAAAAAGTTGGATACTTGGAGTTAGGCTGTTGAGCATTATCAATTTAGGAGTGTGCTTGGCTGCAAATAAGCAGGAAAACCAACTAAGAGTTTCTTGAGGAACAGGTGTTTATTGTTTAGAATGAAATCTTGGAGTTGTAGTCACAGGCTCATTAAGTGGCTAAAGAAGCCCTCAAGGACCCAGATTTCTCTAGATTTCCACTCCACCATCCACGGGATGTTGGCTTTCCTCATGGTTGCCAGATGGCTGCTGAATCTCCAGGTACCACTTTTACATTCCAGTTGAAGAGGGTAAGTGGTGATGCAGTGGTGAATAAATGAGTCATCCAAATCTGTTCCTTTTTATAAGGCAAGAAAGCTAGCGCTTCCCTGAGCATTCCACTGAGGGACTTGTCCTTTCAGGTCAGAACTGGAGCCCATAGGCAGAGGAAAGGTGAGAGGGAGGTGGAGATTACAGAAAAGATACACCAAACATCAGAGCAAGAAACAATTTCTTCAAGACTGAGGTAGGGACTAACAACAGGGAACACAGTGAAACCTACTTTCATTTTATACTATTACAGATATTTGTTTCTTCCTGGTACTGGGGATCAACACGAGAGCCTATGCATCCTAGGTAACTGCTCTACTGCTGTGCTGCTCCCCACAGCTGTTAGACACACCACTCTTAGAAGCTACCTTACATTTTTTCACACATGGATTGTTCAAGGCAAACCATTATGTCCAATTTATTTATTAACTCAATAAACATTTACTGAGCAAAAATGTGATCCTATGTATTGTGCAAATATCTGGAGGATTTAAAGTGAGATTGGATCTTAAAATACACAAGTCCAAAGGGAAGGAGAGAAACTTCATGTGAACTGGAATGATCAGTGGGTCACAGGGGATATGCAAGGAACGGTGCAGGCCAGGGAGAGGGGCTGGTTCGTTCTTTAGGAGTGAAGGGAGGATAAGTCCAAGAAGATGTTGTAGGCCTATGTTTTGGGGAACTCTGGAGAATCCGGGGATGAAGCCAATGGCACAGCACAGGGCTTTACATAAAACATGCCCATTCATCCCAGTTTTCCATGGTCAGCTCCAGCTTATGGCTGTGCCCTGGAATCTTGTCCAGCTCCTGACTCCTTCACTCTCTAAAGTGCACTAAGAGGTATGATGCAGTAAGTATATGGAAATGTCATTCACAGGACTAACACAAAGCAGTTTCAATGTTTCTTAAACCAATGGGAAACTATTGTAGACCTTAGGCCCTAGGAGGTAAGTGATTCCATTTTTAATTCACAAACTGGTGGCAAAGTATGAGGGGAGGAGGAGAGGAGGGCAGGGCGATCACTGAACTGTTCTTTAGTTGGAAAAAGTGTTCTTAGAATTTACTGTGTATTTCACTTAGCAAATACTATTCTAAGAGGCAGCTGCTGTTATCCCCAGTTAAATTTTAACTTGTTTTTTAAAATTGTTTTTTAATTGTTTTAATTTTTTAAATTGAATGTTTGCAAATTTTATACAATATATTTTTAGCATATTTAGACCCTGTTCCCTATCTGTACACTTCTTATACTCACCCCCTGCCAGATTTCAGGTACTTTGTCATATATATTGAGGTCTACTGAGCCAAGTTTGTGTCCCCAAATGTTCTTCAGTGTGTGTCCATCCACTGGAGCCTGGTTAACCTATCTAGTGTCACATCCTTAAAGAAAACTGACTTTCCCTCTCCCAGCGGTTATTGGTAGCCACTAGCTCCTCAGCTAAGGTTCGGGCTTCTTCCCCACCTCCCCACTTCTACACTGGGATTCTGTCTGGCTTGAGCTTGTGTGGGTCTTTTATGCATGCTGTTACATTGTTGTGAATTAATACGAATAACTTCCCAGCTGTTTCCTTGTGGTAACCAAGCATCTCTGGCTCTTACCATCTTTTAGCCCCCTTTTGCACAATGTTCCCTGAGCCTTGGGTGACAGAGTTTTGATATTGGTGTCCTATGCAGGAATAAGCATGCTGTAGTCTCTTGTTCTCTGCACTTTGACTAGCTGTGGCTTTCTGGGTTAATCACCATCTGCTGCATGAAGCTATAAAAAATTTTTTTGATTTATTTCTTTTTATTTTATGTGTATGAGTGTTTTACTTGTGTGTATGTATCTATGTTTGTACATATGTATGTGTACCTATGCATGCAGTACTCATGGAGGCCAGAAAAGGGTGTCAGATCCCCTGGAACTGAAGTTTCAGACAGTTGTTAGCTGCTATGAGGGTGCTAGGAACTGAACCCAGGTCCTCTGCAAGAGCAGCCAGTGCTTTTAACTACTGAGCCATCTATCCAGACATTATCCCAAATTAATTGGAAAGAAAACTGGAGAGTATCAGGGCATGGCTTGGTGGTAGAGTATTTGTTGGCATGAGTAAAGTCCTGGGTTGAGTTCTGGCACTACCAAAAAACCAAAAACCTAAAGAGCAGTTACTGCCACATAGCACTGGCAAGTAGCAGCACTGGGATTTGCACCCAGGCATTCCCAACTGCAAGCCCATGTTTATTCTGCTGTATTATGTTGCTTCTCTAGGCTGGGGAGCACAGAGGCTGGGAAAGGTGGCATACTCTAGACGTATAAGGGACATACTTAGTTTACAGATGGATAGAGTCTTTGAAACTTATGATGTGAATGGTTAGGTAGATAACAGCGTATTACAGAGGAATCTGGGGGCTTTAGCCCCACCATATTCTAAGACCACTGTGTTAGCCAGGAAGAGATGTCCAGCAGATAGAAATACAAACCAGAAGGTGTACAGACATAAGAATGGCAGAGGAAAGAGTTAAAGCCTTAAAGAAAAGACACTGACCGGGAGAAAGAGGACATACTAAGAGAAGGGCCCAGAGACAAGACAGGGAAGAGGGGTTGTGAAGACAAGGGCATATGTGCCAAGGTCTGCAGGGAGGTAGAGAAAACCAGGACTACAAAGGAGCAAGAGCTAGTGCTGACCTTAGCACTACAGGACACACAGGAGCCGAATATGGAGCAGTGAGGTCCAGGAGACAGGACGAATGACTGGAAGATGAGAAAGGAAGCATAGAGCTTCCTAAACATGAAGAGGCAAGAGGATGACACTCCAGTGATTCTCATATGAACGTTTGAAAAGTGCCCTGTTCTGACTTTTTTCTAGTTCCCTGTCTAGAACTTGTAATGCTAATTACTCTTGCCTTTACTTCTCCTTCACATCCCCTATTCATGATTCAAGGACTTTCTTCTTCCCTTAGAGATAAGAGTTATGCAATTTGGGAGTCTTTTAGATAGACCCACTGAAGGGGTACTCCAATTGCCTCACCCTGCGTCCCTGTTCAGCATGGTTTC